ACAGATTTTATCTATTTTTACATTTACCTTAATGGGTATTATCAGTTCAAAAAAAAGCTTTAATTACACATTGCATATTATTGTAAAAGTCACTGAGAATATATTTGAATATAAGTAATCCAGCAGTTCTGTTTTGATTTGTCATATATATGTATTTCTGTTAGCATCATCACAGATTTCAAGAAATACAAGAACAAAATACAGTGTCCAATTTCTAAAATTTACTAGACATAAGAGGATTGATGTGACAAAATCACTTGTAAATAATTTGCTAACTGCATATTTTAATGGAAACTGTATTACAGAATGCTGAAGGTGATTTAAAAATTTATCACATAATAAACAAGATAGTGCATATATATATATATATATATATATATTTATTTTTCAGGCTATTTTTACCCAATAAGAGTAGAAATGGGAAGAAACAAATTTCAAGACACCATCTTAGTTATATCAAATATCCATTTATACAAATTATTATGGCAGCTGTACAGTGATTATATGATTAATATACAATAACAAAATCTCAGTATGTATGTGTTTTTAGTTTTCTCTATCACCTATATTCACTTGCTGTGTAATATCACTTGAGGTAAAACAAAAGTTAAAACTCATTGGTGGTTAAAAACTAAATATTTTTAAAACTGAGATTTATATGTGTAACTTCTCAAAATTAAAATTTTATTTTACCCCCACCAGATTAAGTTTGTTGATTAGTGCTGTTTTGTTTCTCTAATATTTCATTTTAATATTTTCTGTGTGTATCTAGTTTTGGTACTAGTTATTGTTGCATACACAAGGAGCCATAGACCTGAAAGGAAATATGGACATCGTGAAGTTGACGGTGATGTTAGGGAAAACATTATTTGTTATGATGATGAAGGAGGTGGAGAGGATGACATGAATGCCTATGACATTACTCCTCTACGTATTCTTATTGATGTTAATGGGCTTCCTGTTAGAACTAAGCCTGAACCAGAACAACCTCTGATGAGAGATCCACAGCAAAGACAAGGTGAAAGTCTTGACATAACTATGAAAATAGCTATTTAACATATAAAAAAATAACTGAAACTTTTTGCAAGTTGAATTTTTTCTCCAGAAACAATATGTCAACCTGATAACTTAGGGGAGTTTGTTTAAACACCTCATTACTATCAACTTTTCATTTTAACTGAAGCAAACTGATAGCACTCCAAGTAGAATAAATGGAATTTTGAAATGCCTATTTAAAAAACAAAATCCCAACTAGCATGTTTCTTTTCCTCCTTTCTTTTAGAATAATTTCTTTACTTTTAAATAATTCTTATATCTCAGAATAATGGCCATAATGATTTCTAATGCTATACCTAATGTGGTTACTCTAAAGAAACTAGATGCATTGCATTTTAACTAAAGAGGGAAAACGAATCTTTAAGTGCAATGTACACTATGCAGTTCCTACATTAGAGTCCCCTCGTTGGTCAGTGGTAGGTTGGTGGACTTACACTGCTAAACTCTGGGGTTTGATTTCCCAAAGTGGACAGAGCAGGGGCGGATTGGCCTATCGGGATACCGGG